AATTAAAAATATTTAGAATATTTTAGTTAGAAACCTCCATTGATAAAATCAGTAATATTTTTAATATGGATGATTTGCTTAATATGGTGTATCGCCTTATTTAGTCATATGGTTTTGTGTCATGTTGTATTTATATTAGACAGTCTTTATAATTTTTAATTCATGTTTTGATTCATGTCATTGTATACGAAATTTATGTTTACAAATTTGGCTTTTGTTTATCTAATTTCTTTGTCTTTTTTTCGAACATATTTGGTTACAATGACTTATACCTCTTTCTTTTCTTTGTTGTCTATACCCGCCTCGTGGTCATTTGGTTTTAACTACAAACTTATTTATCAATATGGATAAATTATTACTACGTTAAAATTAGTATTTCATCGACCGAATTCAGTATTTTGTTTTTAATGATAATCTTTAATTTTACCAGTTATTTGTTTTATGACATTTCTAAAAAAATATCCATCTGATCGTAAACATAAAATTAGTTTCCATTAAGATCCATTAAGAGGTATCAAATCAATAGAAAACAAGTAATTTTTAGTTGTTTTTCCGAAGAATGAATTTCAATAAGTTTAAGATAAGAATTCAGACTGCGATATCTATTATCTTATTTTATATTAGAATTAAATCTGTTTGATTTCTTGGTATTATTTAATCCAGTTATGTTATATCATAATGTGGATAGGTGAAGATTTTAAAAACTATCTGTTTGGCAATGAATATGTGAAAATCATTGTTGACATTTTAGTGTTGTATAAACCACGTCAAATTGATAGACCAACCACCTATAATGCCGAGTTAGAACAGATTAAATGAAACAATTGGAAAATTTCCTGTTGTTTATCCTCGACATTGAGAGGTAAAAGAGGAATGGAATAAACAAATATAATTTTATTTTACTCAAATACTTATCTCTCAAGTTGAAAAACATTCTTATCTTTCTAGCATTGGCTGTTTCTTTCCTTCGTTATGAACACAATCAACTGATGAATTAAAGCTTTATTTTAGGATTGTAAACTTTTCTGGTCATTTTCTCTTTTTGATGGGTAGGACGTATTCACAGAGAAAATCTTAAATTTACAAAATATAAATAGAGTGAATAAAATGTCTTAATTGAACATAATGAAATAAACCACGATATCCTACTAGACGATTGATAAAAGATAGAATCAGAAGACAAGAAAAAAAGCAGAGTAAAACGAACTAAGCTTTGATTTTTTTTAATTCTATTTATTTATCCATTCATTGTTTTCTTGAGTTAATTGAAAGAGAAAGACACGGAAAATTCTTCATTTAGCGAACATAAAAACGCTCTTTGAGTATTTCAAAGCTGTCCTAAAGGCCGAATACACGAATGGTAGAACAAATCAAGGCTTGGCATAAGTAAGGAGCCAATATTTAATTTTACTCCTGAAACCTTGTGTTATATTACTACAACTGTAATTTTATTTTTCGGCGTTTAAACATTCCTTAATCATCACATCTTACAAAAGAAGGGGTCAAATTTTTTACTCTAAAAATTTTTAATTTTCTATTTTTTATTATTACGGTTTCTCTATTTTTTATTATTTAACTGATTTTATTTAACCCCCTTTTTTATGTCAGAAATTCAGTTAAACATCCAAAGATTTAAAAAAAATATTCAACGCTTACGTGAGTACATTCCTCCTTCTTCCACACTTTTTGTAATTTTAGGAAAACCAGAAGATGAACAGCCATTTGATACCAATTCAGCCGTATTTTTATTTCTTTTTGGTTATGAATTTCCCGAAACAATTCTTCTTATAAATGATTCAAATATGACAATCATTACTTCACCTCGTAAAGCCTGTATATTGGAACAGCTCTATCCTCACACTTCTCTTACACTTTTAGTTCGTAGAAAAGACAATTCAAATTTAAACGAAATAAAAGAAAAAATTTCTACTTTTACATGCATAAACGTTGTAGAGAAAGAAGGACTGAAAGGTTCTTTTGAACAGAATTTTGATATTTCTTCGTATGTAGACATAAAACCGCAATTACTTCATGTATTCAAGATTAAAGAGGATTACCAACTTGAATCTATTCAAATAGCTTCTCATCTCGCTTCTTATTTTGTTGATCAAGCAAAGACTTTTATAATTAATTCTTTTACAAATTCTTTAAAAAAAACGCATTTAGAAATTTCCAATTTTTTAGAAGAAATTATGGACAAACCAATAAATATAAATTTACCTGAAAATTTACATTTCGAACAAGACAAATTAGAATTTGCATTTACGCCTTTCATTCAGTCAGGTGAAGCTATAAATATTTCTTCTTTCACTGAAAATCCATTTGAATCTTCATATTTAGAATTACCATTTGTTATTATAAAAATAGGTGTTAGATACGATGGTTACTGTTCTGAGATTTCTCGTACGTTTCTAATTAATCCAAACCAAGAAAGAATTGATTATTTAGATTCACTTTATAAATTAAGAGATTTCATTTCTTCAAAAATTTTACCTGGAAGTGATTCTTCTGTTCTTAAAAAAAATATTTCTGAATTTATAAATTCGTGTGATATTTCTTTGGATGGATCTGTGTTTTACTCAATTGGTTTACTTATTAATGAAGGATTTTGTATAAATTTATTTGATGAAATAAATGAAGATTTTAAAATTGAAAAAAATATGACTTTCGTTATAAATATAAATTCCAAAAATATGATTTTATCCGACACGATCCAAATTTTAGAAGATAAAATAATTTTTTTAACTTCAAAAAAAACCAAAGAAAATTTCATTTTAAATATTTTATTAAAAGAAGGCCGACTTAAAGTAAATGAAAAATTAGGATTTCGTGTTCGAAGTAAAGAAAAAGAAGTTGAAAAAAATATTCAAAGAAAAGAACATCAAAAAGATTTAATGAATGATTTGATAGAAGAGATGTTAGAAAAATATAAAAAAATTAAAAAAGATAATATTGGAGATTCAGAAATAAAAGAAGAAATATTTATTCCGTATAAAAAAGAAAATTTAATTCCTCGAGAAAGAAAACTCAAAGTAGATTTTAAACATGACAGTATCCTTATACCTGTTTATGGATATTTAATACCTTTTCATATTTCTTTAGTAAAAAATATTAGTAAAAATGAGGATGGCAGTTTTTCTTTTTTAAGAATTAATTTTTCTACAGAAAGTAATTTACAAAAAACTGAATTTTTAAAATCTTTAACTTATAAAGGAAATACGCATCATATTGGTGATTTATTTAGAGAAATAAATGAATTAAAAAAAGATTTTTTAATTAGAAAAGAAGAAAAAAAGAATTTTAAAGATGTGATTGAGCAGGACACTTTGGTAGAAATAAAAGGAAAGAAAAATGTTTTAAGTGATGTTTTAGTTAAAACAGATTTCAAAATGGGTTCTAAGAAAATGAAACCTTCTAATTTAGAAATTCATCAGAATGGCTTCAAATATACCGGTGATATTTCTTTAGAAATTTTATTTTCTAACGTAAAACACTGTTTCTACCAAGAGGGAACCCTTGAAAACAGAACAATTTTACATTTTAATTTGAACAGTCCAGTCATCGTAAATTATTTAAATTCTTCAAAAAAAACTAAAAATTTTCAATTTTTTAAAGAAGTCGGAGTAAATTCAGCCCACTGACACATTTAAATTAAAAAATGATGAATTTATGGAAATGATGTTGGATAAAGAAGAACAAGAAAAAAGAAAATTAGTAAATGACGAATTTAAAAAATTCTGTAACAAATTAGAAGAATACGGATTGGTAGTTCAAATTTTACTTAAAAATGGATTTTACGGTGTTCCTTATAAAGAATCTGTCCTCCTCTCACCAACAATGGAATGTCTTGTAAATTTAACAGAATTTCCTTTTTTTATTTTAACTTTAAAAGAAGTAGAAGTTGTTAATTTTGAAAGAATGATTTTTGGTGTAAAAACATTTGACATGGTTTTTGTTATGAAAGACAAAATAAATTTACAAACAGTTTCTATTTTCTCAGTTGATAGTTCAGAATCTTTAAATTTAAAAGATTGGCTTGATTCTAATAATATTGTTTTTATAGAAACAAGTGTAAATTTACAGTGGAATAATCTTTTAAAAAGTATTTTAAAAGATCCGCTTTCGTTCTATGAAAATGGTGGATGGGTAGAATTAATGGAGAATAGAAGTGAAAGTGAAGAAGAAAGTGAAGAAGAGAGTAGTACTGTTAGTAGTGTAAGTACTGTAGATGAAGAAGTACTTAGTGATGTTAGTGTTATTAGTAGTGAGAGTGAAGTGGTAGGAGAAGAAGAAAGTGATTTTGATAGTGGAGAGGAATATGGGGCAAGTGAGGAGGATGATTGGGAGGACAGTGAAGAAGAAGAAAAGCCAAAGAAGAGGAAGAGGTGATGTGAGGGTGGGAGGGGTGTGGGAGGTGTGAGGGTAGGAAGAGGTGATGTGGGTGTGGGGATGTGGAGGTAGATAGAGATGTGTGAGGTATGAGTATAATAAAGTATGAGTATAATAAAGTATGAGTGTAGGAAAGTATGGATTAGGAAAGTAGGAAAGGCTAATTGTGTTAATTTATTTTTTTATAATGGATTACCATTTTCTAAGAAAAGTTTTAATAATTTAAGGGAATAATTTTAGGAGTAAAAATATTTATTTTTATTTACATTTCTTTTATTTCTTTATATTTCTTTATATTTCTTTTTATGTTTAAATAGTTTTTAATTTCTTATTTTATTTTAAATTTTTATTTCTTTATATTTTTATTTTTATTTTCTTAATTACATTTAAATTTACATTTTTATTTTTATTTTTATTTCTATTGATTTATAGTGTTTATTTAACTCAAATAAACAAACAGATAAAAAAAACAGATTAAATAAAAATAATGTAAGAATCTATTGAAACACTAAAAGAAAGAATCTATTTCTAAAAACCAAAAGCAATAAAATTCAGAAAATCTATTTAAAAAAATTTAAATAAAAAAATATTTTTTTTAAAATTTAAAAAGTTGCGTTCCCCGAGTATCGATCTCGGGACCTTTAGATCTTCAGTCTAACGCTCTCCCACTGAGCTAGGAACGCTTATATTCAAATTAAAAATATATTTAAGAACCCTTATTTTGATGAATGGATTGAAGACTTCGAAAACAGAGGAAACAAAAATGTGGTTGCATAGACTTTTTAATTCTTCTTATTTTAATACTTGGATGGTAGTTTCTTATTTATATCGGTATCCTTCTACAGGTATACAGTATTACCTGTGTAAGAAATTGGAATATAAAAAAGATGTATTGGTTGTGTTACCAGAGTTAGTGCATATATTCTTTTTTCATACTGAAGATATTGTAAGTTTACCTATTTATAATCTTTTTCTATTTCATTCTAAAAAAAGCAGAAAATTTTGTTTATCTTTATATTTTCTATTAAAGACGTATTTAGGAACTTTAGAAACTGAACAAAACAAGTTATGTATCTTACTGATTGGAGAGATATATGAATGTGATTCTTTACGAGAAGAAAGAGAAAAATGTAAAAGAAAATTAATTTTTAATCCGATTTCTTCTTTTTTAAAGTATTTGGATTGTAAAAATATTTTGTTTAAAAACTTAATTTATAATCATTTGAATGGTTATAATTATCTAAGTTTTAAGACAATAAAAATACCGAAAGTGGAATTAATATTTCCTAATTTGAAAGGAATTTTATTTTATTTTGTAAAATCTATATCTTGGATTATTTCTGATTCTCTTTTTAATTGTTTAAAAGATTATGAAAAGATATTTAGCAATAAAAGATTTCGATTTAAAGAAAGAGGTAGAAAAAGTAGGTTATTTTATGGAAAATCTTTTGAAAAGAAAGATTTGACGAGTAATATTTCTTTTTTTGAGGAATTGATTGAAATTTCTAAACGATTGAAATATTTACATAAGAATATGAGACAAAAGGGATTAGAAATAGAGATAGGACTTGTTAATTATAATTTACCGGCAAAAATTTATATTCCTTTTCTTCCTACTGGTAAGTATATCTTAAGAATATTGTTGGATCATTCTTATATTTTAGATTCTGCTGAGAATTCACCGTATTTGATTGTTTTGGAGATTGCGGATGAGTATATAAATAGAAATGAGATAATTTCTGAGGAAACACGAAATGTTGCAGTAATTTTGAACCAACTTACTACTCTGGAAATTACAAAAAAATATGAAGCGAATATAATTAAACAAAAAATAATTGAAAATTTACAAAATATTTCACAAAATAAACTTTATATGAGCAGTTGGAGTACAAAAAGAGAAACAATAAAAAGTCAATCAGTATATTCCAACTTAAGAGGATGGAATATAAAATCTATGATAGTTAAAACAGGAAATGATTTACGACAAGAAATGATAGCTTCTCAACTTTTAACTGAAATGATAAATATTTGGAAAGAAGAAAAACTTGATATTTGGGTTTTGAATTATGGAATATATTTGATTGGAAGTGATTGTGGATTCATTGAAACAATAACTGATGCGTATTCGATACACGCAATTAAAAAAAGAAATATTTCTAAGAAAAAATCGTATTTTTTAAAAAGTTATTTTTTAACAAAATACGGACCAGAACACAGTGGGGAATATAAACGAGCATTAAGAAATTTCTTAATTTCTTTAGTAGGATACTCATTAGCAACATATATATTACAGATTAAAGATAGACACAACGGTAATATTTTAATAGGTAAAGATGGACATATAATACATATTGATTTTGGATTTATACTTGGAGACCATCCAGGTTTCTATAGAGTAGAGACAGCACCATTTAAGATATCAAGAGAGTATTGTGATTTACTTGGTAATTTAGTAAATGATTTTAAATCTTTATTTCTTGAAGGTTTTCTTTCACTTAGAAAGTATAATGATAGATTGTGTAGAATTATAGAAATTATGATGGAAAAATCAAAAGTGAAATGCTTAAATAAAAACTCATTGATTTATTTTAGAGAAAGATTTAAATTAGATTTAGGGTGATAAAGAAATAGAAAAATATGTTGTGGATTTAATCAATTGGAGTTTTAATAGTATGTCGACTGGGTTGTACGATTCTTATCAGTATTTCTCACACGGATATCTTAAATAAATCAATTGATTCTTCTTTTATTTTATATAAAATTAAAGTGGAGAGAGGATAATCTAAAAGTGAGAATATTCTATTAAATAATGTAAATATATTTGGAGAAATTAGTTATCAGTAAATAAAATTAGTTATTGTTAAATATAATTAGTTATTATTATAATAAGGTATTTATTATTATAATAAGGTATTTACCAATAAATAAAGTAGTTACTACTAAATAAAGTATTTACCAATAAATAAAGTATTTACCAATAAATAAAGTACTTACCAATAAATAAAGTACTTACCAATAAATGAGGTAGTTATTTAAAATAATGGAAAAAATGGTAAAAATATTTTAGCCTAGAATTTTATCTTAATCTTATTTTTTTAAAAATAATCTAACAAATGTTAAAATGTTATATTTATAAATATTCTAAGTAGATTATAAATTTTTGTTAAAAAATATCACATCTTTTTTAAAACAGTTGCAAGTGTTATATTTGTTTTCATGACATTAACGCAGTTCTAGGTTTAAAATAAATAACTGCTACCCCAAAACTCCATCATTAACCCCTGCGATACCTACGTCTCAAAGCCTTTCATCTACCAGATGTGTAAAACCTAAATAATAGGCGAGGCAGTTGCCTGGAGTTCGTTAATATCCGTCGCATGGAGTGTGATCGAAGGCCGAAGCCCCCCCTGGGCTCCCCCAAGACTATGCAGCATTCCCACTTACTCTACACTTTCAGAACACAAGAAACTTCTAGCTAAGATATATTTCAGAGATTTACATGGGGTCCACCTAGAGAGTGCAATGTCATACCAACAGGTATAACCTGCTACTTAGCTTTCCTGGCTTTATATGGTTTTTTGTTTTAAATCTCCAGGCGCCAAGTCTTCTAACCCGAGTGAGCCAGGCTAGGTTTCCATGCTTTTACATGGCAATTACCTACATGTTCAGCTGCGGTCTGCAATCTGGTTACATAAAAAACTACAAATAAATTTGTACAAAAAGTTTCTCCATTTCTCAGACATCTTCTCCTCATAACAACTCCCTGGAACAACCAAAGATGTAATGTGGTTTTATTCCCACCAAAAATCCAAACAATGACCTCACACCAGTTTCATACACTCATTGCCAAGCAGAAAGTTTTTTATGTGGTTATCCTCCCTCCAACATTATTTAAGTAGATATAATTATTTTATTATATAATTTTAAACAAATTTCTTTTTGGATCTTGATTACACAGAATAAAAAAAATAATCACTAACCGCTCTTAAATCCCAATTAAATATTATTATAGGTTAATAGTTCTTTATTTTCAATATTTTTTCCCATTATTTTACGCTTCAAAGTCTCCCTCTAAATTCGACACTGTATTCATCTTTATTAATGGTTCCTCCGGTATGGTTATCCCATCTAAAATATTAAAGAATAAAAATTTGTATTTAATCGTTAGACACTATATTCCGCTTATTCATTTGCTTTAAAGTAATTTATGGCTGTTTATCCGACGCGGCTCTATAATAACACTAGATGACGCACTTTATAGCGCTCTTAAGATTTTAGGTCCGACTGAAGTTTTCTTTGTCCATCAAAAGAAATTGACCGACCGTCGTCATATACACTATCAATTTGAATGTATTCCTCTACATCCATAAGATTTTTGCAGTCTTTTGAGAAAAGTCTTATGGTATTTCGTTACAATATCGTCCTAGATCATCTTTTACAGAAGTATATCTTAACTAATTTATAGTTAAGACTTAACTCATTTCCAATAGATCATAATTATTAAGCTTCTCCGTTTTAACTATTTGAAGTGGATCTTAGAAAGTAAAACATTCTTAAATGAGGGTTATGTATTCGATCGTCTGTCCAAAAATAATATACCAGGCTTATTATTCCAAATTTAGACATCAGTTGATATCCTATTCTCTATACCTGACTTTGCCTTCTGCTTATTATGAATTTTTTGAACTGGGTAATTCCTAATGCGTTTGAAGATTTATATTTATATCATTTTATTAGGAGCAAATGTATGTATCGGGTCTCTTCAGTATTTTGTTTAGTATAGCCATGACCAACTATTTTTTCTCATCTCTTTGCTTAACTTTCTACTGTTTACCAAATTTATTACAGTGTTTAACATACTTTTTGCCCTCCGGAATATATTTTAGCTTAGATATAGCAGCAAAACAGTTTCTTATATTCCATTTTCTCGCCATTTAGACGATCAATAACACTTAAAAGCTCCGTTTCTTTTACGTATATTAATTTTTATAAGGTTTTCGTTTTTTTAATTTAATGTAGAATTTTGCAAGTTGAGAAGCTACAGAATTATTTTATCTACTTATAAATTAAATCGAAGAATTTTCTAAAAAACAATTTGGAAATTTTTTGTATTATCAGCTTAAGGATTTATGGTCTTCGGAATTATATTTCTTAACCTTTTTTTAACAAATAATTCTATACTGGCAGAATCATATTTTAACTTCGACTCAAATTGTAAGGCCACTTCTAAGTTCCGAATCAAAAAGGTAAACTCTCTTTCCAACTAGTCCGAAGTGTATATTTTTTTTGCCAACATCGCACACACTGCATCATTCAACTTAAGAGTGCACAACCTGTCCAAGTCAAAGCAGTTCTATATGATAAATAATTAACGATATTGATATTGTTAATTTGCAAAAATAACATAGTTTTTCATGCTATCTCTATACGACGAAGCTTTCCCCCCTTTCTATTTGCTTTCTCAATGCCTATTATAATGATTAACAGGAAAATCACCTTTGATATCTTTTTTATGCTCATCTATTGAAAAAATCAACATCTAAAAAATGGGAGTAAAATTACAACACAGTTTTTTTGTCTTCGATCTCCCAGTTTTAATTCTAAAAATAATAACATTTAAAAACCATTATTCGTCAGCTCTTGTAAAAAGAGCAATAATAAAATATATAAAAAAAAATATATC